GTTCATTTTCAGCTGAGGGCTAGTTAAAAATGGCATGTTATCTGTCCTCTGTGTGTCTCTAATGAAGACAGAAATGTGTGGTTTGTAAGCCACACATTTCTGGTCTATTATGTCATGAGCTGTATAAAAAGCAGGCATTTGGGATAAGTACAAACCAATTTCAGCCCTGTGGTCATGATCAGAATTGGATAATAATGCTTAAATAAATAAAATTATTTAAGAAAATACCTGATATGAAAATGTGAATGGTTAAGGTCAAACATGAAGAAAACCACTTTTTTTCTTTTTTTTTTTTTTTTGCAATTTCTATACTGATGGTCATACATGATAACATTTAAAGATTACTACAGATATGTTAGCATGATCATGTATTTTTTCAGATAGTACAAATCTTGCGTGATCTACAAATTCTTATGCTTATACATGTCAGTTGCACCTTCAGATTGTTGAAATTTGTATTTTACAGACATTTCATCAGTAAAAATGCTTAGTGTCTAGACAGAAATAACATTACCAGAAAGTTTGACGATGACTAGTGGATTTTTTTGGCACTCAATCAGGTGAACAGCTTAAGCAAATACAATAGTTTTGCTAATTGCTTTGAAGAGTCTTACATTATCTTCATATTACTTTTAAAATGATCAGTGTAACAGTTAGCTGTGCATTGAAAAGGTTTTGTTGACATTAAGTACGGGTTAAAGAAAATATACCTCCTAATAGATACTGTGAAATGTTACAATTAATCCCTGTAGGTTAGATGAAGCTATAGAATGTAAGTTTAAAACATTGAAATTTTAAGTAGTATACGCATTTCTAATTAAACCCTGGGTTATGAGAGCACCTTTTTCAATTTTTTGCAGCTATTTGCATTTAGATATCCTATAAATAAATTATTAAATACATTATTTAGAAAGTTCTGGCCTGCTATGTGATTTCTGCCATGGGTACAAAATGAGATAGCTTTATGAGTTTGAAAGACACCCTAAAGTAGTTAATGATGTAAATGCATTAAAATCTCATCTTAGATTTTATGTTCAAGCTAGGCTTCCTTGCTAAACCTTCTTAAAATTAATGAATAACTCCCCTGTGCATTAGGATTTGGGTATCACTGTTTTATGTATTTTCTGTAATAATTAATGCTGTGACATCTGACAGCAGGGCCAAATTGCATTGTTACTGTTAATTAACCTTGGATTTTAGAAAAGAAACAGGGGAAGAAACACTAAGACTTGGAAATACAATTTCAAAGTACTTTTATAAGTGCATTTGTTTTAAGTGTGAAATATGTCTATAAATTTCATATTCTATAGGAATGTTTCTTGGACATACTAATATCTCTTTTTCTTTCTATTATTTAAATTGAAGCTGGGCATGTAATTTATCAAAGACGAAAACAAACTATTTAACAAATTTTCTTCTACAAATCTATTTTTGCTTTGAGGTTGAACTGAGCTATGAGAATCTCTATAAATTCATTGTATTCTATTGCTTATGCTTTAGAAAACCATAGTATTTTCAGCAACTCTAGTAGATGTTACAGGGTTAAATAAAAGATGTTTCTCAGTGCAAATCAGCTGACCCATACTGGGTCAACGTTGGCTGAGGAATTAATCAGTAATGGCAGAAAGAAGCTAGATGAGAGCTAGCTAGAATGATTTTTACAAAGATCTGTGAGAATTCATAACAAAGAGGAAGCTATGACAGAAAATAGAGGTGAATTTTTGGCTGTGTAACCAGTGAATGTTTTAATTTTGTAAGTCATTAGTGATGTAAACTTGTGGGAAGGAGGTGCATGCATGTGATGGGCAGGGAGCGTGCTCTCCTTGCTGAAGCTTTGTCAGAACAGCCAACAGGCATTGAGCAGTGCAAGAGAAAAGGGCTGGGCAGCCATGCAGAAAGCACAATTAGTATGGATGAGAAATTGAAGAGGGGACTGCTATCAACTCAGATGTCTCACAAAATAAAAAGAAAAATTGCCATTTGTTGAGAGAAATTTAGTCTACTTTTAGCATTACCTAAATTTACGTAAGTTTGCATAACTGGAACAATCCATTCTGAGGTTGTCACCTCCTTCACGTGTCACAAGTTCCTATGTATTATATGTCAATGAAGAGAAAAATACCTAAGGTTAGATTAAGAGTTAGAATGTTGGGACAAAAATGCCTATGGAAGTATTAAAGTCCAGAGAGATTAGATGGATAGGCCCATTTGTACATGAATGTTTTACAACAGTGTCACTCTTTAGGAAAAAGTCAGAAATATTGGAGCGTCTTCTAGTCTTTCAAAGTAGTAATGTAACAATAGCAGTAAGGATCAACATGTTGAGAAGGTTTCAAGACTACAAATATACATTTTCTTGGAGAGGACATTTGCATTTTTTTTCATGAAGCAAATTCCACCTTCATTAAGTAATGTCTTGATAGAAGTATTCCAGAAAATACCAGGAGAAATTAAATGAGAATACTCATTTTCAATTCTGTGAATTTTTTGGAATGTGATTTTCCCAAGTAAAAGTGTGTACCACGTTGAATTTCTGGCCTCGTGTAAGCCTGCCTGCCCTCAGAGGATTGGAGCCTTGCCAGGCAGGTGGGGATACAGGGAAATGTTGGGGCAGGTACAGCAATCTCTTGTGTCTGCACCCCGTGGTGGCAGTGTAGACACACTCTGGGGAGCTTGCAAAGAGGCAGTACAAGTCATCCCTGTCGCTGCCATGGGGCTGTGTGTGCAGCTCCTGTGGATTGTTTCTCCCTGGTGCAGATCTCTCACCTGTGTCCAGGCTGTTCCGTCAGCCCAGGTGTGCAGCTCATGTAGGTGGGGAGGTGTCCACCTGTTCTGAGGCATCACCACAGTGAAGAGAGTAGAACAGCCCAAAGATAGGGGCAGTGTTCCTTTCATGCAGCTTCTTTCTTAAAGGCTTGTTTGAAAGGTGGAAATCAGCCTGCACTAGATCACATGGAGCATAAATGATTCAGCATGAAACAGTTAGTACAAATTTTATTCCTATATCTTCCATCAAAACCCATCAATTTATCACTGGTAAGGTATGACAGAAGGAATGAAATAAAAAAAATCTATTGTAAAAGCATTAAATCAAACAATGATTACTTTAGGTGATGTTTTAAAATTAGCTTCTTAAGTACCCCATGCTTTTTTGTAAGTACTGAAAGATACTCAGTATATTTATGAATAAGTGCAATTTCTGGGTATAAGACACATTTTAAATTCACTAAAAATATGTCACCTTAGGGTACTTTTAAACATAGATTTTGTAATTGCTGGAAAATTATATGAGAAATTAAAATGCTATTAATCATCATTATTGCACAGGTTTCTATCGGAATCAACAATAGGAATTATATTTTTATAAATACAGAAAACATAAATAACCTCCTTCGAATTTCTTTCTAATTCCATCTCAGTTAACAGGCCTTTATTTAAAAATCCTATTAAACAAAGGAAGTTTATCTGTATAATCCTGTGATTTTCTGAGAGAGAACTTACTGGTACTTTCTTAAACCAGATCAAGAGCATGTTGATCCTTCTGCAAAAGCCTTTATGTTACTTTTTCCTGATTGCTTATTTTTTAAAGGGAAAAACCTTATCTGTGATACCATCGTCCAACTTAGTTTTTGTAATGCCACTATTAGACAGCTGCAATAAAAACAAAATTATTTGTAATTGGTCCTATACATAGATTTATAAATTAATTTCTGTCTCAAGAGCAGAAGACTTGTCTTTCAATTAAAGCTACTAAAGCACAATATGGATTTTAGCTACCTCTGATGCGTCCTTATCAGTTAGTACAGTGTTCAGCTAACTCTCAAACAATTTGCAGTTTTTGAACTTTCTTATTTATGAGAGCTTTTTTTGGGGTAAAGGAAGGAGAATAATACATGGAAAGAATTATTCACCTCTAATCTCTGCTGTAGAAAATCCTTGTGTACCATGTAAACCCCTTTTTTAACTAGTGTATAATTTGCCTTCAGCCCACAGGCAAAATAGAAGGTTCACTGTTTTGGTTGCTCTCTGTAGCTCTATGGTGACATTTCTCTTGAAATTAGTAACATGAGAAATATAGTTAACACACTACTGGTCTCAGAGTCGAAGTCATCAAAAAGAAAAAGAGAAGTGGCAGTTTTAATTTCCCAATATTTTCACCACCTGAGGTGGCATTACTTGCAAGTAATGCAAGGCAGCAGGGCCAAAGGGTTTGTTTTTTATTCATCCTTTTAATTATACCTCTAAGGAAAGACAGTGGATTTTGACTCCTAGTGAAAGTAAACATGAACTGTATATTTGTATGGCCAAAATGAAAAACCAAAATCTGTCATTCCTTTCAGCATTTAGATATTCTATCTGACACAAATCCAATTGTTTTTCATTCACTCATAAATAAAGCATGGGACAGATGTGCTAGGTTTACAAATTGCTGGAGAAGGAGATGGTGTTTATCGGCTGCCTTCCTTTTGCCCTCTGTTGCTGGAGATAAGAGAAATCCAAATTGACTTGCTTCCTCTGCCTGAGGCATCTTAAACTCACAGCTCCCTGTGTCTGAAGCATGCTCTGTGTTTCTGTATGTAGCAGTATGGCTTCAGCTGCTCATGGCTGCTCTGAGATTTTGGTAGAGGACGGTGCTGCTACTAAAGAGAGAGTACTGAGATAATCATTGGATTTTGGAAAAGCAATCCAAGTATCGTGCTGAAAGGACAGAGTATCCATTTTTTCGTCTGCTGTATCATGTGCCTGAGGGATGGGGTGAATTTCTCTTTTGCTGCCTCCACAAACACACCCTCTTCAGTGTGTCCAGCAGTTATGTAAGCACTTCCAAGGGCATCCCCCCTAAAGCCTCCCCATTAGCCACAGTTTCCCATCGGATCTCCTTCAGACCCTGAGCTGCTGCTTCTGCAAATGTGATCACCAGCCAGGTCATGCTTTGTGCCAGCTGTTCTTCTTTCTCAACAGCCAGTGAAAACCTCAGCAAATTCTGTCTTCCTTCTCAGGTTCTACACCAGAAGCTGACTTCTCACAAGCTACAGAGGAGGTCAAGTGTTCTGACTCTTTAACTTCTCTCCCCCCAGTCCTTTGAGTAAAGCCACATTCTCTTGCGGATGAGTGGAGTTACCTGACACTCATTGCAGCAACAAAGGCAGCTGAGCCAACCATTCTCTCCTGGAGTAAGTTTAGACATTCCTTAAAATAGCCTAAAATTTGGTTCTCAAAGTAAAATAATTTTGGTTGTCCTGAGACTTTTAATAGAAAATTTAAGAACGATGTAGCTAGCAATTTACTGTTCAGCACATACTCTATGTTGGTGGGAGGAGTGGTAAGACTTCACTCAAAATGGAGTCTGGTGGTGTTGTGGAAAAAGACTTTTCAGAAATGAGCTGTCAGCTTGTCATTTGTACATTATATTTTTTGCAGTTTTGATACGGTACATGAAAATTTTGTTACATCATCACTGTGCTTTCAGCTGATTGCTAACTTACAGTTGAGGTTAGTGCAGAGATTTATATGCTCACATGCTAAGAATTTCCTGTATTTCTTTCTGTTCTTCTGTTTCCTTGTTTTCTTTTTGGAGAATTACTATGGCACAGATAAAATAGTTTACAGAAGTAAATTTAGCATCTTTACTTTCTGTGATGCTTATAAATTGATGCCTTTTTTATTATATAGGAAATGTATTTTGAAAGAGCAGTATTTCTTTGCAAGCAGTAACTATGTTGTTCCAGTTATTGATACAGATGATTCAGGTTATTATCCAGGACATGCCTGTGGCTACAAAATACAAGAATTGGACATAAAAGCAGCTGTTCCAGTTTTCATCACTAAAAAATTACTATATTGCCCTTACTTAGATGCTCTTTTAGACATTAAGACTTAAGAGGCTCTTAGATAACTTTAAAGGGAAATGATAGTGAGGAATAATATATTTTTCAATATTAATCATGAAGAAAGTTTCATCAGGCCAAAGCTACAGCTTCTCTCCTTGAATTTGCAGGGGAAACATGAAGCCATTTTATTTTTCATTACTATTCTAACTAGGTAAGAATTTCCAGTAAATATTTCCCCTCTCCTTTGTGCTGTCCAAAACAATTATTTGCACACTTCCATGCATACACAAAATGCACACATAGACACACAAAAACTAACAAAAAACCCAAAAAACCCAAACCTACCACGAAAACAAAACAGAGTGCATTGTGACCGGAACAGGGGGAATTTTCCAAATTATAGATTCAGGAGTCTTTCCTTCTCCTTTTGCTCCTGTCACATGGTCTATAACACCTATAACAATGTTATGTCACACCTACATAATCAAGTTCTGGAAGCTCATTTCTAGGACTGCTCAAAATAAATTAGAAGGCATAATTCTGAGTGCCTAAGAAAAATGTAAATACTGATATTTCTGATAAACTGCTATTTCATCCTTTTTTTAGTCAGTTTCATATGTCTTGTTGTGTTTGAGTGGTGGGTAAGAAAGCTAATAAGTAGATTTTAAGAGAGGCTGCATAGGACCATCTTGTTTTTTTGTATACAGGTATTTGCAAGAGCTGTTGAAACAAAAGTTGACCCCTGCAAAGGAAGGTATGCATTGAATCAAAGTATATTTGTAAAATATACTAAATTCATGTATTTATTTTTATAATGCTGTAAGCATGTACATTCTAGTAGAGTAGAGCTCTTTCCAAGGTTAATGTTCCTGGAAAATACATAGTGTTTTCCATATGGAGACTTCCAAATGTCTTCAATGTAAATGTCATGCCAGGTTGATCTCTTTCATATATATTTGCTGCTGAAAGTACAACACATATGAAGATACCAAATAATACCCTGATATTATTTTCACCTTCCAATCTAAAAATATATTCAGTCCCCTTTGTGGTTTATGTTCCATTTCTTCCTTATACCATGATTTCCTTGGGAGCTCAAGAAAGTAACTGGTTAAGTCTTGGTAATGAATGCATAGAAGCCTTAGTATTTTTATTTCACAGTGCAGAAAGGCTCAAGAGTTGATGCAACCCTTACTGCTGGAAAAGGGCTGTGATTGGGTGGGTGGGCTTCCAATACGCTGTTAAAGCATGTAGTAAAATCTCCTTGTTGGCCTCAGGACATCTACTGGATTTAGAGATTTCTGCCCAAAATTCACTTGTGAGCTACTCAGTAATTTCTAGTAGCTAAAACTTCCTAGAAACAAAGACAGAACATCCCAGTGTCCAGCAACCTCACAGAAACCCATTTTAAAGAAAATAATTGAATTTGAGTATTTTGACTAACCAGAATAATAATGAATAGTAATAATAGTGAATCATTGTGTGCCTTTAGTCACATTGGCATGTTTAGGGAGAACAGGATAATGTAATTTCAGTAATCTCCATATATCTACTGTCAGTGAAATGAATACTTTTTTCTTGTGTGGCAAAATATTTGTGGCAAATGATAAAGGAAAAAATAAATCCTGTAAAGCACATGGTAATGAACAGTGAGTGGTTAGCTAGAATCACAAATTATTTCATCCCTCAACAGGTAAATTGCAGAAAAAATGCATCAGAGAATTTATGGATTTTTTTTGACGTCTTTTAAGTCCTTTTGGCTTGCAAAGTAGGCCTAATCCTACAAGGCTGATGTAATTTGCTCAAGTAATTTGAAATAGATGAAAGATCTGTAAATGTCAAAAAAAAAAAAAAAGGCAGAAATATTGATAGTTACATTGTGTCCTACATGTCTCTTTTCACCCATATAGTTATTTTTTTTTAAAAATAAGGAGGTGGAGGGCTGCCAGCTCACTTATCATCTATTCTTCCTAGCTTCAGGCTGAATAAGAAAAGGTTACACCTGTCAACTGGAAGATGTACTCTGGGGAGAATGATTTTCAAACCCTTTACAGGTCACTTTAAGGCATGTAATTATACAAAAACCTCTAAACTCTAAACATTGAAACATAAAAATTTTTAAATAATAGCAGAGGCAAGTCTTTTAAAGCAATTAACTATTCTCTGTGAACTTTCAGTTGTAATTATTTTAATGCCCCTTTCCCTGACTGATAAAAGGTTTTTTCCTTTGTCAAGTAGATTATGCTGTATATCAAAGTAATTTATTTTTATTCATTGAGTGTAGGTTCACAGGCATTTTTATTATCATCCTGTTTTCTGTTGTATAATCAGCTCCAGGAACTGACTGTTTCAAAAGTATGCCACAAGATATCTGAATTTTTACAGAAAGATTACTGACTTACACGGGGTACAGGGTGCTCGTATATTTTCTTACGTATCAGACCTTCCATCCTTTTACTTTCTGGCATGAACTGGAAGGCAGTGATGGCAAGGTCCTCAGATTAATTAAAGAGGTATTAGGTGCAGCACTGATATGGAACTTCCCAGTACTATATACTGGATGTGACACACTTTGGCAGTAATTCCAAATCTAAACCTCCTTCATCCTTGATATGTTTTGTTTTAATGTTTACTTATTCTGATATTGCCCAGGTAGACAACCTTTGTAATCGACTTCCCAAGTGTTTCAATAGCTATATTTCACTAATCATTAGGAATAGAATGTTGCATCTCTTTCTTTTACTAATCTCTGTTCTACCTCTAGTTGACACAGATGTGCATTCAAACTAATTAATGAAATTTGCTTTGACTCAGCATGAAAAGGCAGGAAAAAATAAGAGCATATGAAAATAGTATCCGATATTACCTAATTCTTATATTACAAGAAATGCAGTAAGAATGAATGGGTGGGTTCCCTGGACTGTAGGAGATTCCCTTGGAGCATCTCAGATACACAGCCTTAATTTGGGAAAACATCCATAGGCCTCAGGTTTAGGTGGATGTTCATCTGCATCCCTCCATACTCAGGGAAGGATGCTGAAGAAACAAGTTGTTCACCACTATCATTGCCGGATTTATTTGTTTCACAAGTGTACCCAAACCTCAACAAGCATCAAAATTCTTTTTGAGTGTTTTGGCTTGTAGGTTGAATATTTCAGATTATTCACTTCTGAAAATAAACAGAAATCTGTAGAGCCTGAAAAGGACAGAGTGAAATAAAATGTTAGTTTGTAGCATTTTGATTAAAATTATTGCTTGGATCTCAAAAAAAATCTGCAACCAAACCAGAAATGCAGCCAAATTTTCTTTTACAGAGTGAAGTGCCTCATATGCAAGACTGGCTTTATGGTTTGATTATTGTCTACTGAGCACATGGTATAAATTATTTCATAACCCCTTATGAAGCAATGTTCAAGTACTTTTCTTTTTAAATGAACTTATAGCTAAACAGTTGATATCTCCTGTTGAAGAACCACCCCAGACATTAAAGTACTTTTCCGTTCACAGTAATTTCCACATTATCATTAGGATGTATCTCCTAGGGATGGAACTAAACTGAAGTTTGAGTGCTTCTGTACAGAGACACCCACCCCATGTAATTCTCACATGGGTTGCTGCTCTTGGCACAACTGTAGTGGCCACTTGAGCTTGTGGATGTGACCTTGCAAACTACATCTAACTGGCTGCAGTCTTCTGGGTATTGTCCAGGATTTGTCCAGCATCTAGCCTAAAGGAGTAGAAGAAAAAGTGAATTAACATGTCTCTATGTACATTATATGTATACACATACATAAGACACATGAATAATGCATAAATATACATATAAATGCTTATATATACATATTGACATATATATTCTATTGCACCGAATGATAAGCAAGCATTTATGTGTAATTAGACTTGCTTTTTAACCAAATCTACTTCAGAAGCCTGTCTGCCAATAAATATTGGGACAAGCTATAGCTTCTTAATTTGAAATGAAATGCATAGCTCAAATGTTATCCTCTAGTACAAAGAAAAAGCTGGTTTCATCTTCTTGATAATTTCTTGCTTTTTTATGCATGGTAGTTAAGTACAAGATGATTTTTTGAGAAAATAAATTTTTGGGAGCTGGTAAGCATGTATCTGAGAGACAAAATGAATCAAAACCACCCTCCCAGAAATATTGGTGAGTACTTTTCTCATGAAAGATGTATCATAACATATCCAAAAATTCATGAGAAAATAAGTAAGCTTCCCAGGACTGTGTTCACACTTGGCATAACCAATTCTATCTTAAAATATACATTATGATACCACCAAAACAGTTTTCTAGCACCTAACGAACCAAAAAGGCAAATGAAAATAAACTCATTTATTTGGGTAAAGAAAAATTACCCAATGAAAATTTCTAAAATTTGAAATGGTAAACAGAAATGTACTGTCACTGCCAAAAGTATGTCTGAGGAATTGAAAAATATAATTTATACTTTCTGTGCATCCTGTACATACTACTCTACTTAAAATTTATGTGTTCTTCTTTTAAATGGTGACATGCTTCTGACCAGTGAACAAGACTGCCAGGTTTTCCCAGGATACATCATTAGGTCTTTTTCCAGTGCCATTCTTTTCCCTATTAGCATTTTTGTGGTTGGAGTTTTGTCATTTTTTACATTCATCATAGCAACCCGTAGTGTAAGTTACTGACTCCTGTGATGTCAAGATACCTGGTACCTCTCACCTTGTAACTTTGGCTGCTTAGATATCAGCTATATTGGAAACTAGTGGAATTAACAAAAAATACCTCAAAAACAAAACAAAACAAAAAAAAATACCAAAAAAAAGGAAAAACTTGATTGCGTGTTGTAGGTCCTACAGTATTACTTCTCACAAATCTAAACTGATACTTGACTGACACTAGCACTACATAAGTGTGGCCAGTAGTAACAAGCAGTAGCAAGCAGGAGATTGTTTGAGTTTCATATATTGATAAGCACATTGCCTCTGACATTGATTGCATGCTTCTCACTATAAAAATTACAGAAACTCTCAGAGTCAATGTTCTGGTAGTCTTTATTTTGTTGTGCAAGCAGACAAAGATAGTAAATATCTATGAATACACTACTTAAACAGTTGGAGTTCAGTTGGATAACCGTATTTAGTAAGTTCTCTCATCATATACATTCTGTCATAATTTATGGTTTTCTATTCAGGATTATATTTATAGAACTTTGAATAGGAAAAGCTCTGGAGACAGCAAAACTAGCATGACGAAGAACTTTATAATCTCATTAAGGAAGTGTTGCTAGGAGTGGCTAGTGAGATCACAAGAATACCGTTGTAGAAGCTAATACACACTGTCAATGCATAAATGAATGTAGTGTGTAAAGAAGAAAAGGGAAATGTGTACATTTCATTTGCAATGTGTAAATTACACTTTTCATGCCATTTTCAATCTCTTGCTAAGCTTGGAAAGATAAACTTCCAGTAAGGAACTGGAATTTCTTATTTGCTCATTTACAAATAAATTATTTATAGATGAAAACAGCAGGATAGGAAATCACACATTAATATGTTTTCTGAAGCTTCTGGTGAAAAAAGTAGGAATAATTACAAAAAAAGTTTGGTGGTGGTTTGTTAGCATCCTGTGTTATTTAGATTTAGGTGGTTTAGTTTTTAGAGAAAAAGATGTCTCAACAGGGATCATGATGAGGATTTCTTGGACAGTAGAAACTAGCAAAAATTCCCAAAATTTTAGCGAAGCATTCCCTTTGC